AAAAAAAAAAAAAAAAAAAAAAAAAAAAAAAAAAAAAAAAAAAAAAAAAAAAAAGTACGTAGAGTCGTATGAGTGTGAAACTTCTTGTACGAGAGATAAAGCGACTTGAATTTTGCAGAGCATACGTGTATACCCACAAGTTGTCATAGAGTATATGCTTTGTTGCTGCGCTGAATGTTACGTTTTAGATTCGTTGGTTAAGTTATACGCAACAAGTGGACGTGTAATTCTATATGTTTATTATACGAGCAACGATGAGCACATTTTCTTCAAATGTACCCGATCGAGGACAACTAGTTGATTTTTAATTACACCAAAGTTGTACGTTTGCACGTTAGTCCAACGATGTAATCACGTTGTTGTCTCACTCGTTGATTCGACAATGACTTTTGCCCGAATTTCATTTTTGTACGTAGCAAATGATCACTTTTGCGATGCACCGTGCAATTGTATGGATGACGATATGAAAACACGGGAGATCATTTGAAAAAAAAAAAAAAAAAAAAAAAAAAAAAAAAGAAGGGATACATACTTACTGTTATTGAAGGCTGTCGTACATAATAACGTTAACAATAAAGTCACGATAAATACATATAGATATATTTACTTAATAATCTAGGAAAGAACTTTTTTAATCCGTTACACTGCACATATGTTTTGTAAATAAAAGTTATTATTTATTCAAATAATGCAAGCAGTAACGATAATGGTGTTAACATAAAATTATTACTGTTATTATTTTTATTATTATTATTATTATCATACACAAGTCGTTGTTATTTTTATTATTAATTATATTGCACGAGTATATTATAGAGTGTGGGTGTATGTGACTTGCCGTTCTCGGCGACCACCTCGACGGGGGCGGAGCTGGTGCACGACTCGGTGAAAAAGGTGCCGATCTTCCGGCCGGCGACTATGCTGTCGATGGCCTTGTCTTGGGTGCCGTTGCATATGACGACCGACACGCCGCGGTCGAGGGCCCACAAGGCGGCGTTGACCTTCGAGTCCATGCCACCCGTGCCCACCTTGGACTTTTCCCCAAAGGTGATGGCGCCCCGTTGATCCGAGCTAAAGGTGTGGAGGAGCTTGGCTCCGTCCCTCCAAGGGGGCAGGTTGTAGATCCCGTCGACGTCGCTCATGAGGATGAGCAGGTCCGCCTGTATTNTTTTAGGTTTTTTTTTTTTTTTTTTTTTTTTTTCAAAAAAAATTGGAAAAAAAAAAAAAAAAAAAAAAAAAAAGAAAAATGCAAAGCACTAAGAGAGAAAAAAAAAACAACAACAAAATAACAAAACAACCATTGTTTATTCGATTCTTTGTACGATACATCAAATTTGTTTACTGTCAATGAAATTTATTGCCGGTTAAATAAATTTATTATCGCTTAATAACTTCAAACGACCTAATTTCGAGTTATTGCGGGAACAACTGATCCCCTCTTTTCAGGCAACTGCAGCGTTTGCTCGAATCATCGATCTGCGCTAGTAGTTCAGAGTAAAGAAAAAAAAAATTTTTTTTCTCTAAATAATGCAAAAACTATGACAGAAAAAAAAAAATAAAATAAGCTCAAAACTTACCCATTTGGTGTTCCCGCTCTGTGAGCTTGCACTACAATATCGACCGTATGGAATTTCGAACAGTTATCTAACTGTGCAGTCGTTGTTAAGTGTTAATCATCAATTTTTTTTTTTTTTTACCATAGCCGACGTATAATAAAACAAATTTTTACACGAAAAATAAATACCATCACTGCAATTAGGTCCATTTTTTTGTCATTAAATTATAAATGATATGCTTTTATCGAATTTCTAGTTGGACGTGACATGAGAGGAAGTAATGGATAACGTGATCCGTCATGATTATTAAATGACGCAGCAGCTTTGTAAAAATTTTTTAATGCATCTTTCTAGCTGTTACGCAAATGATCGAGCGTTGGACCAAAGAGATGTAGATAAAGTCACTCATCTTTGGCTGACACTTTGTGAATAAAAATGTTTAACGGCATACGGAAATCGATCCAATTACACTTGAAATGAAAACACTTTGTTATTTTCCACTAGCCTTGAAAAAGCTTTGAAAGACGTTGCTTCGCTCCAATCTCGTGACGCCAAGTGCAAGAATAATCATCATACTTTACTGCACCATTAGGTATATTGTGTCGTGTGTGATAACACGCAGTGAGAACCTACAAATACTACACTTGATTTTTTTTTTTTTTTTTTTTTTTTTTTTTTCGAGTCAAAAATCACCAATAGACAAAATAATGACCAAATGGTTAAATATTAAATTTTCTAAAAGGACGCAATCGAGTAAAATATAAAACTCGTACAAACAATAGAGCATATTTTTAATACTAAACGACAGGTATGTATTATATTATGTTTATGTACATCTTAAAACAGATAAGAAATGTGTTTAAACGCGACGATAACAACAGCCGGACGATCTTCAATTGTACTCAAAAAGTATTATCAAGCGATGGGTAGAACAATTAATTTACACGATACCACGAAAAAAAAAAGGGTCAGGAGTGCGGGGGAGGAGAGGTAAACGAAAATCGCGTCCGTCAACAAGAACAACAACAGCCAGCTGGTATGTATTACATGTTGGGTTATTCATCAGCGGATGAACACCATATCATCTAAATAAATAATAAAATAACACTCCACCAGCGATGACGAAGAGACGAGGATGACAAAGTGGCGTCATCGAAACAGGAGATGAGGGGAGGGAATAGACAAACTAAGGGTGTACGCGCGGGGGAGGGCAGTGATCACGAGGAACCGTCGGTCGGCAGCATTTGGTGCAGGTAGGTCTTGGAGCCACCCTCCGCAAAGTCGGCCACCGTGTGCCCGTCCCCGCTGAGGATCCACTTGGTCGTGAGGAGGCCGTCTACGCCAACCGGACCTCGCGCGTGTATCCTCGCCGTCGAAATGCCCACCTGTACCAGCAATAGATCATCATTCTCATCTACTTACGAACAAAATGGGAAGATAACAAATGGGGGGGGGGTTGTGACCAACCTCGGCGCCGAGTCCGAATCTGTAGCCATCGGCGAACCGCGTGCTCGCGTTGTGGAAGACGCACGCGCTGTCGACCTCGCGTTTGAAGTACAAGGCGCTCTTCTGGTCCTCGGTGACGATGACCTCCGTGTGCCCGCTGCCGTACCTGTGGATGTGGCCGACCGCCTCCTCGACGCTCGAGACCACCTCTACCGTGCACTCGAGGGCGCCGTATTCGATTTTCATGCTCTTGGCTGCCGGTGGGCCGAACGTCAGGAGCTTGCTCAGTCTCGGCCCGGCGTTTATTTTTACCTGTAATTCGATCGCTTTCAATTCCCAACGAACAACCGTTTTTTCCATGCCGGAAGCAAATTTGTCACGATAAAAGTTCGAAATTTCTTCCGCATGCACAAAGACTCGCCCCGAAAATGGTAATCGGTTCGAGTGGAGACGTTAGAGTGCCGATTTGTATGGTATTTTACCAATGACTCGCCGATCACCCCTGCGACTGGCCTACCTCGAGCTTACAGAAAAAAAATTTCGAACCCTCGTTTGCAGTGAAAATTTTCTTCCGCGATAAAATCGTTGAGTTTATCTCCAGACGCGGGATGGTTTCTTTTCGTACGCATAGCGACCAAACAATAACAACAATCTTGCACAGCGAGCGCGGCGATTGGATGGATTGCACAACGGTATAGACAACACTCTTATCGGAAACGGTAAAATTGAAAAAAACAATAAAAAAAATTAAAAAAAATCCTCTCCCGAGCTTTCAAGTTCGCGAGGAATGGCGAAAGATCGACTCACGGCCTCCTTCTGCAGCATGCCGATGAGGTCCGTGAAGAAGCCGGCGTTGGGGCCCTCGACGAGGCTCTCGTGCACGAGCAGCGTCTCCATGGCGTTGCACGCGGCCGGGTAGTCGCACTTTGAGTCGCGCACGATGCGCAGAGCCTTGCCGATCTCGGCGTCCCGGTCGACGTACACGTGACAGACGCCCTCCGCGTGGCCAAGGACGGGTATGTGCTTCGACTGGTCCTGTATGGTGCGCACCAGCTCCGAGCTGCCCCGCGGTATGATCAGGTCTATGTGCTCCTCCATCGACAACAGGTCGCCGATCTCCTCGCGCGTCGACACCAGGGATATCGCGTTGGCCGCACCCACCCCGCTCAGCGCCTCCTTCACCAACTCCATGAGGACCCGGTTGCTGTGCGCCGCCTCCCGGCCACCCTTCAACAGCAGCCCGTTCGCGCTGGCCATGGCGAGGGCCGCCACCTGGGGCAGGCTGTCGGGCCGCGACTCGAATATCACGAGCAACACGCCGATCGGCACCGTCACCTGCCGCAACTCCAGCCCATCGGCGAGCTTGCACCGCCTCACGCACCGGCCCACATTCTCCAGGGAGTTGTCGGCTATCTGGCGCAAACCGTCTCGCAACGAGCGCAGCTTGGCCGGTGACAGCGACAACCGCGACAACAGCGGCTTGGCCAGACCCGACTTGGCTGCCTCCTCCAGGTCCCGGGCGTTCGCCTCGAGGATGTCGGGTTGCCGGGACTCGAGCAGATCGGCCAGGCTGTTTATACAACCGGCCCGGTCCTCCGGCAGCAGGGACTGCAACACCCTACTCCCCAGCCGAGCTGCGGATGGATTGGTTTACGTTGTTATTATTATTATTATTATTATCATACACAAGTCGTTGTTATTTTTATTATTAATTATATTGCACGAGTATATTATAGAGTGTGGGTGTATGTGACTTGCCGTTCTCGGCGACCACCTCGACGGGGGCGGAGCTGGTGCACGACTCGGTGAAAAAGGTGCCGATCTTCCGGCCGGCGACTATGCTGTCGATGGCCTTGTCTTGGGTGCCGTTGCATATGACGACCGACACGCCGCGGTCGAGGGCCCACAAGGCGGCGTTGACCTTCGAGTCCATGCCACCCGTGCCCACCTTGGACTTTTCCCCAAAGGTGATGGCGCCCCGTTGATCCGAGCTAAAGGTGTGGAGGAGCTTGGCTCCGTCCCTCCAAGGGGGCAGGTTGTAGATCCCGTCGACGTCGCTCATGAGGATGAGCAGGTCCGCCTGTATTTCCGCGGCGAGCATCGCCGCGAGCGAGTCGTTGTCCTTGATCGATATGCCCCGGCGGCCCGCCCCACCGGACACCTCCTCGTCCGGGGCCTGGGGCGGCGGGGACACCGCGTCGTTCGTGTTGATGATCGGCACCACGTTCAGGCTTATCAGCTCGCTCAGGGTGCTGAAGAGGTTCTTGCGGGTCTCCTCGTTCGTAAAGTCCGGCTTGGTCAGCAGCACCTGGGCCACCTTCACCCCGTACTGGCCGAACATGGCGTCGTACAGGGACATGAGGCCCGACTGGCCCACCGCCGCCGCGGCCCTCGGCTCGAGCATCCGCGCTACAACCACAACAACACACGTTTTTTATTTTATATTTATTTAATAATTGGGCCCTTTTGAAATGGGGCGTACCAGCGTGCTCGCGGGTGTGATCGGCCGGGCTGAGGGTCTCGCGCATCGACAGGGACATGAGGAGCTCCTGGGCGAGTTTTTGCTTGCCAAAGGCCACGGCCCCGCTGGTCACCATGATGCACTCGCGGCCCTCGTTGTGGATCTCGGCCACCTGCTCGACTATGCTGGCCAATCTGCCGAGGGCCAGCCCGTGCTCGTCCTCGCGCGTCACCACCGCGCTGCCGAGCTTCACCACCAATCGCCGGGCGTACTTTAGCTGGTTGCGCTCGGTGAAGTTGGACCGGCGTCGGCGCTCCGCCGTCTGTTGCAGCTCCCGGCGGAGGTCCATCCGGTTGCTGACGCCGCCCTGTTGGGTGTCATAATATTACATACGATCGGCAATCGCCTTTTTTTCTTTCTTTTGTTTATCTCTTGGTCCATCGCGTTGCGTGAGCTCGTGGCTTACAAAAGCCTCTAAATCAATATAGGTGCTTTGGGCTAATGTTTCGCAGAGAGATGCTTTTTGCGAGGGACTGCGCACTCTTCGTGAAAGTGCACAGCGCTCGTATATAGATAAAGGAACATCGGTATTGTGAAGCAGATAATATGTGTGTACCGATACACACTCCCAACACGTGAGACCCGTATTATATTCTTAATTGTGTTAATTCTTATCCACGTTTACATATATCATATCCGTATCGTAGATTAATAATCTCCTCGTTTCTCGGACAGCGAGCCATCACGTGTAAGTACATGTTGTTTACACGCACATTATACACATACGCGATTCCTCTTTACCGATATCCAATTCAATCGATCGATTGATTTTGCGAAAAAAAAAACGTATCTCTCAGTAACAAATATTTGATCTTACAATCTTTCATACCTATGTATTGTATATATGTATACTTGTAATTCAAAAGATATTGCAACGGTGCACAATATGTGTAACATAATTAAGCAAGTATCAGGGAGATGATGGCAGTCGATGATAATGGCACTCGTGGATAACAAATAATATGGCTAAAGTTCAACTATTCTCTTTCGCTAGTTATTGCATAAAAATCATCGTTATCGCGGCAAAGTGTAGGCATAATGTATGAGTAAGTGTTTCTGCAAATCGCGGAGACGCGCATAGAAAACATCAGAAAAACTCTTTTTGCGTTTCGCTTCCCCCTTTTCCTATTGTACTCGAGTCACGATAAATCACGGCACAATAAACCAGATAACGATTTTGAAAATCGAAAATCGACTTGTACAGGGTATACCATGTACATATGAATCAATCAATGATAGGTATACAATGTTGGTAAATAAAGTGTATGAATAGCAGTACACCACAACCCATGGTTCTTGTATCGGCGCAAGTAACACGTGTATGTATATTCGATGCAGACGTATAAGGACAAAGACAATGAACTGTTGAAAGAGCATAGAAAAAAAAAAAAAAAAAAAAAATGATAGGGTGTACAACAAGACACTCACCGGCGTCAGGTGAATCGACAGGGGCATACTCGAGGAGGACGAGTAGGCCCTGAGAGCCGTGCGCCTGAGGCTCCCTCCCGAGCGCTGCAAGCCGACCATCAGCTGCCCGTACATGCCCCCGGCTTGTTCCAACCGATTATTTCAACAAATTAACAACCGAATCGTCGCTCCCGACGATTGATTATCCCCAGCTGGTAGGTCGCGCTTGCTCGGCCGTACAAATGCGACTGTACGACTCGAGAAGTCTCGGAGCCAACGGGCCCGCAAGACAAGTGCCACGGGCTTATCAGTGCGCTTTCGCGCGCCTCTCCCCGATCACAAGTACATATTGTACACACACACACACACTGCACCAGCGAGTAAAGCTCTTGAACTCGTAATTACGTGATGATGATTTTCTGTTTTTCAGAAGCTCTTCTTGCATATACATATTAGATCGCGCGCGTCATTCGGTACATCGTCTTTATATCCCGTGGTGTGTGCCTTATATACATGTACAAAACAGATGAAACGAACCGGACTACCGATCGGATGTATACACATATAATATGTGTGCAGTTGGGTGATTTACACGCGAATCAACGGAGATCCCGTATATTTTTGTCACTTTCCTGACTATTATCGGTACACACGCGCGCCACGTGCACCTTATACCCTCGCCCTCTCCTTCTTCTCTGCTCCTGCACGTACAGTAGACGCGCGGCGCTGTCAGTTGACTGACTGAGTGCTGTATGATAACAACAACAATACCTATATGTATGGATATGTATTTAAGTGTAACATATAATCTAATCGTGATGTCGGTCTATCGAACCCCTGTGTACTTACATATTCGCTCTTTTGACGCGTTCATTGGGTGTATATGCGTGATGCACGCAAGCCTGGGTTTTGCCGATTCGATGATGGCGCTGATTTTAGTATGCATTGGGGTTTATCGGTAAGAGGTGATTTTTTTTTTTTTTTTTTTTAAATAATCTTTCTTTCCGGGTTGCCGGGTGGTATAGTTTGCCACTTGAGTTTTTTTTTTTTTTTTTTTTTTTATTGTACGTATGAACAGCTCCGCGAAGTTTTCAACGATTCGCGAGCGACATTGATTCTTTGTCTTCACAGCGCGGTTATTGTGACGCGGCTCTGTATCTTCGAGGCCTTGGTTGTTTGAAAAATTCTTATCGGAAAAAATCGGCACGCGTCGTTTGCGGCTTTACTATCCCCAAGATGGCGATAAGAATTGATTGTTCATTTTTTTTTTTTTTTTCGCTCTTTGGTTCTGGTGTAAATGTTGCTTTGGTTGACTGATGTTTGACAAGTCCCAGCGGACCCTTCCGTTGGGTATTGGCTGATGGTCCTGTATACAGCCGTACGATCAATAAACTAGTCTACAGAATCAATTAATCAAGCGATAAAGACTGTATATATTATGTATGAAAATTTTTTTACTAAGAGCTAGTTTATCGGAAGGCTGTTTTGATTTATCGGTACTAAAACTTGGGATGGATAAATAAAACAAATGACTCATTTTTGTAGATCTAACAACTCGTCCTTCATTGTTGGCTGTTATTTTGCTACACTTTCAGTTATTTCGTCATTTTTAGAAAGGCTCGGTCTTTCTTGATTTTCATTCGATTTGACCTCTGTAAAAATTGTTTTGTCCTCGAATTATTTAAAATATGATGGGACATTTTTTTTTATCTCTTAAAATATGCACATGTAATCATGCACATTTTATACGTATACAAAATTCGTTTTTGTATTATCGTTTTAATGTAACTTTTGATATCTTGATTATTTAAAAAAAGTTACCTACATCGACTTTACATCAAATAATTAAAATAATAAAACAAGCTTTGCTAACTTTTTTTTTTCATCGACAAAATTCAAACATCACACAGTATGGCAGATTATCATTAAGAAAAAAAAAAAAAATCGAATAGAAAGGTATCGAAGGATCTTCATATCATCAGATTAATTACTTCAATCATTTTAAAATAAGGCTATGTGTGAGCAAATTCATACAACCGTTTGTATAAAATTGTAATTATATTACTAAAGAAATACTTACCATCCGTTTCTCGGATAGAAATAATGGCACTCAATAAAAGTATCAGTGATTATAATTAAATAATATTAAAAAAAAAAAAAAAAGATCAAAGTTACTGTTAACAAAGACATAAATAAAATGTTTCTGTCTACTCGATAATACAACATCTCGGGCTTTTTCTCGTTCCCCTCGTATCATTGATTAATAAATTGGATAAATTGTAAGCCCAGTCCACGATAACGACCGTAATATATCGATTATAGTCGTTATTTTGGCATTTATTTAATACCCTATCATTCACATCTTCCCCCGATGACTCGAAGCGCTAAACACCGCCTTTTCTATACGTGTATGTAGGTATGCGTATATAAGATTTCAGGTATGGGTGTACCGTCACAAATAATCTCTGGAGAGCTGTTTCGTAATAAATCGGTATGAAATGATCTTAAGAATGTATACGCATGCAGCCGTTTCACAAAAATGTGGAATAATCGAACGAGTGATATTAAATTTAGACCTCCCCATCAATAGGTGGTAGAAAAAGAAAAAAAAACAGGTGCGTAAGGAGTAAAAAAGGGGGGGGGGAGGGGAAGAGTGCAAATCGATGGAAGCAACGGCTGCTGCAAAAAACGAAGCCGAGATGCACCGTATATACATCGTGCAAAAAGCTCTCGAAATTAAAAGACAAAAAGCGGGGGGTGGGGGAGGAGATCGAGCCGGAAAGGTGGGCGTCGACCGAGACAAGGGAGAGGAGGAGACGGAAGAAAAGTTGCTCCGGAAAATTTTTATATTACGAAAGTTGCGGACGGATGGTCCGCACACAAAAGCGGTGGTGGGCGGGGGGTACACATTGACGCAGCCAGCAGGCAAAATGTCCAAGCGCTGCAGGGAAAAAGAAAAATACAAAAGAGCGTGGAGGGGCCGTTGCAACGTGCATACAAGATATGTACGAGCTACACAGTCAAAAGGAGACGCGAAAGAAGGTGCATCGCGAATTAAAATTCATCCCTCTCCCGGATTAGCAGTAGTAGCCTTTTCCCGGAGCTTTCGCCTCCGCGTCCCCTATACAGCGATACACACACCCCCACGGCGCGGGCGTCCCTCTCTCCCTTCCCCCGGCCCGAGCATATAAATATCCTTCGGGCGTCTTTTGGACGACGCTAAAGCTCCCAGGGCGCAGAATCGGCGGCTAAAAGCTCGCCGTCGACGCTGCTGCTGCTGGTGCATATGGTGCGTGGAAAACGCAAGGCTGTCAGTAGCGCTGGCAGGAGCTCAGCAGTGCTCTCGACGAGCGGGACCATGTCGTCGCGTCCAGCAGCCTGCCTACTCCGAGTCCAGGTACGACATCGCCTTTTTCCCTTCTCTTTCCTCATTGCTTCATACATATGCGCAACGATGAGACACTGTCCAACTATTTTTTTTGCCAAAATCAACTCGAGGATAACCACCCACCCCCTCCCCCTCTTACGATACCCGTGTGTGTGTTGCTCCAGTAGACACACTGTTTACCCGTGTGTATAATATGTACGCGCGGTGTGTTTGCTCGGAGAGAGCGACGATATTGTCCGCGATAACAAAAGAGAGAACGAAAAACAAGCCATCCTCAAACAGTGACTCCGCAAGTACGGGCCGACCAAGCGATGGGTTGTTTTTATACGCGTACATGGTTGATTGGACGGTGCTAATAAATTGGTGCTCGGGTCGGGGCACTTGTGTATGTTGTAACGCATCATCGACGCCCCACTCGAGTTGGGGACGGAATAAATAAATGTGAGACCTGGTGACCCAGTGAGTCTAGACAGGGAACGGAGCTTGGAAAAAGCTTGGATATATCCATCGGTAGAAATATATATATATGTATATATATATGTATATATATGTATATTACACCCTTTTGCGAACTTTATCGCGTATCGTACACGGAAAAAGCTCGACTTGCACGCAAGGGAGCAATAAGTATGCGATACCTTGTACCCTGTGTATGTGTATAAATATGTGCGTGTAGGGGATACAAAAGACCGAGGTGAAAGGGGTAGGGGAAAAATAAAAAAAAAAAAAGGTAAAAGAGTTGAGGCGCGCCTGCACTTGGCTTTGATGCTTCTGTGCACGGACTGCCGGGCGGAAAACGAGTTAATCAATCAAAAGAGCGCGACAAATATAGCCGCTGCAGCGAGCGACGGGAGGACAGGGAGGCTGTGCGCATCGATGGTTGGGTTATCCGTGTGGGCGCCTACCATATATACCTTATTTGGCGAATAATTTTGCAATTCTGTTGAATTGCAAAAAAAAAAAAAAAAAA